CAAGATGGCGGTGCGTAGGAGAACCAGTTCAGGGGCGTGGCAGGCCTGGGTCGCTGCCCGTTCCAGTGACCCAAGCCGCCAAATCACTACCTGTTCAGCCAAACCGGTAGGAACCCACCACTGCAAGAGATCCTGTAGTCGGGGGTCCCAGTTTCCACTAACAATGGCTGATTTCAAGTGAGGGGCATTCAAAAGCTCAGCCCAGGATCCCTTTCTCTATTGCATTTCAGTCCTCTTGTATTCTCATTTTAATCCCGCACCTTTGAGAGCGCAACAGTATTGTGTCCCCTGAGAACAGCAGACCTCGAGATATATTTGGTAACTATGCGCACTTTTCCTGAATCCTGGTGCAAGGACAACCGCATGAGTTGTGTAAGCTCTGTAGCAGCCTCTCCACTTTGAAAGGTTACTTTGGTAGGAAGGCATCAGAAGAGCCAGATTGATGCAACATCCCAGTCATGATTGTTTTCTATATTCATTGTACTGGTGATGTAAAAAAAAAAACCACCCACCCTGAAGGAAGCTTTCATATTCAGGGAACAGCTGAGTTCTGGTTGAAAAACACATATATATGGGAAATGCTGGGAGAAAACAAACAGTCAAGGCTATCAAGTTATCAATTAGAAGTACCTGTACCCTGGAGAATCCCAGTGGTATTGAGACTACAGGTACAGGGTGGGAAAGATTCTCATAGAAAAAATCCAACTTAATTATTTGAACAGCTGAAAATCAATAAGCTGTTGTATTTTCTTCTCTTCATACTGTATCTTTAACAGTCTAACGCTGTTCTTACTATGATTTTGCTTTATTTCTCCATTGAGTTTGCAAAGCAACTTTGGATATTTCCTTTTTAAGGTGAGATATGCATTATTAAAATAAATACCCAATACTGGAGAAGCATAATTCCTTTGCATGCCGAAGGAGAAGGCAAAAAGAAAAGAGATGTGCTAATACAGTCATACCATCCCTGTCCCTTTCCATCTGTTGCTGCTTCTACTAGACTAACAGACAAAACAAATCACAACATATTATAGTTATAAAATCATGAGGTATACAACCAACAATTTGCACTTCACTCGGGCAGCTTGTCTTGCACCCTTAATTGCCATTCCAGTAGAAATAGTTTGGTAAAAGAAATTTTAGCCATTGTTCCCATCTTCATATACTTCAGTTCATGGACTGTGCAGAAAAACGATCAGTTTCTTCATTCTTTAACTCTACTTAACGGGAAGCCTCAGGTTGCATGAGTCAAGATTTCTGCAGTTGGATCCCCTGGAGGGAGATGCTGCTTTAGTGCTCGTTTTTAGCCTTGTCTTTACTGAAGTTGTTCGTGGGCTCTCTCCAACCAGCAGATGGCAGTATTGAATTTTATCATGCATCTATCTCCATTGTAAATTGGATCAAATGGTCTTTTGTGCTGGAAGAAGTCCAGAGGCATTTTTTTTCTCTGTGTGTAAAGATGAGCTGTTTCTTTAAACTGTCAACAAATTCTGTCTGGATCACGATATTGCTTAGCTCATTTCTCCATTTTAGCTGGCATTTGTTATTGTTAACTCTTATTCTGCACTGAATTAAGCGTAGTTTAAGATTCAAAGTGTACAATTCACCAGAGGTCTTGTTCATTTTGGATCAGGTTCCATCCATTCAATAATTGTGCTCAGAGGCAAACCTTGAATGGAAACAGGACCTGTTTTCTAAACTTTCCTGCCCTTTCTCGACAGTAATGTATATGAAACAGCCAATTTGATAAAATGGAAGATTTGTTGGGGCTTGACAAACTT